TGGAAAAGCACCATCTAACCAGGATGCTGGGGTCTTCAAATTGTGTTATAAGGACACACGTGATCGAAAACAGACTCATTCTGTGAAATAAATTAGATATCAGTATATTAGATGTGGGTGATATCTCAACATTTTAAATAAATCGAGATATTTTTTAAACACTAAATGGATTCTGACATATTGTATATCTATATAATGCTCATATTTAATTCTGATTTTCTTTGCCTTCTCTGTGCTCGCCCCATGAGCCTCCATCTTCTTGATTTTGTGACCCCTCCCCTCATTCACTGCTCACTACTGCCATGAATGCCCGAAAGTTGATGCCAACCAAAAGCTTCTAGCACCAGAAACCTTTTCCACTATTTACAGACAAGGCCATCAGCAGCACATCCTCTGTCACAGAGAGAACACATCGTATATTCCACTGAGTCGTGTCCTTTAGCCCAACAGAAGCTGACTGCATCAGCGCACAAAGAGCAAAGTGTCTTTCAGCACTTTATGCAAATGATCATCTGTTTGCAGATGATGTTGTCCTGTTGGCTTCATCAGGCCTGGACCTACAACATGCAGTGGGGCGGTTTGCAGTGTGAAGCAGTAGGAATGAGGATCAGCTCCTCCAAATCCAAGGCCATGGTTCTCGACCAGAAAAAGGCTCTTGCCCTCTTCGGGTGGGTGGAGAGTCCCTGCCTCAAGTGGAGGAGTTCAAGTATCCCAGGGTTTTGTTCACGAGTGAGGGAAGGATGGAGAGTGACTTTACTAGGTGGATTTGTGCAGCATCGGCAGTGATGCAGTTGCTGTATCAAACAGTTGTGTTGAAGAGGGAGCTGAGCCGAAAGGCATAGCTCTCGATTTACCAATCAATCTACATTCCTCCCCTCACCTATGGTCATGAGCTCTGGGTAATGACCAAAAGGATGAAATCGAGGATACAAGAGGTCAAAATGAGTTTCCTCCGCAGAGTGGCTGGGCGCTCCCTTATAGACAGGGTGAGGAGCTCAGTATGGGCATCTGTTCTAGATATCTTCCATAAGATCCAGGACACGCTGGAGGGACTATGTCTCTTGTTCGGCCAGGGAACGCCTTGGGGTCCCCCGGGGATCAAGGAAGTCTGGGTGTCCCTGCTTAGACTGCTGCCCCTGTGACCCAGCCCTGGATAAGCGGAAGAAAATGGATGGATGGATACATTTGTTTAACAGCACAAATCAGCTCACCTGTTGTAGTTCCAGCTGAGATAGTTCTTTTTGGTCAAATTGTGTAAAATAAAGCCCATATTAAAGTCTAACTTGAGTAACAGAGTTTCAGACAGAGCAGTGTCTACAGTTAGCATTACACCTCCAGGGAATGTTGATAAAAAGTATCAATTGTGCATGTTTGAGGTTAATCGGGGCAACCAGAGAACGGGAAAAGCTTCAACATTACAGTATGTGATCCTGCCCGTGTCCTTACTTACACCTTAAGTACTTCCTGATGCTGTTTCAAGTCCACTTTTCATTACTGCGCCCTTTAGCTCTTTCTTAAATCACCTCAACTTTTTGGCTTCCCTGTCCTCCTCTCCTCCTCCTCTCCTCTCCTCACTCACTCCACTGTTAATGCAATCTCAGCACTTCTGCCTCTCAGCCCTGCGCACACATTTACACTTTCATAAGCTCGTAGATTGCCAAGCCAATCTCAGAGTACAGTTAAAGTATTCACTAAGAACAGTTTTGTGACAGACGGGAGTAATTCTAATTTAAGATATCCATTCAGAACTCCAGCCAAATGGAGATAGAAGTTACTAGACTGCAGTGTGTGTTTTCATACGTGGCTATGATCAATGGAGAGAATGAACTCTGGGAGGGCATCTGACATAAGTATCATGGAAGTCAATTGATTTTCAACTATTCACTTTACATCTGTTCAACAAAACAGGGTTAGGTTATGCTGAAAACCAAGACTTAACCAGATCTAAACCAGGTCTACAACTAGACTAAACCAGGTCCAGACTAGGTATACAACAGGACTACAGCAGGACTAAACCAGGACTAAAACCTTGTCTAAACCAGGACTAAAACCTTGTCTAAACCAGGACTAAAACTTTGTCTAAACCAGGACTAAAACCAGGTCAAAAACAAGACTAAACCAGGTCAAAAACAAGACTAAACCAGGTCCAAACTAGGTATACAACAGGACTACAGCTTGTCTAAACCAGGACTAAAACCTTGTCTAAACCAGGACTAAAACCTTGTCTAAACCAGGACTAAAACCTTGTCTAAACCAGGACTAAAACCTTGTCTAAACCAGGACTAAAACCAGGTCTAAAACAGGACTAAACCAGGTCTAAAACAAGACTAAAACCAGTTCTAAACAAGACTAAACCAGGTCTAAAAAGACTAAACCAGGACTAAAACAAGACTAAACCAGGTCTAAAACAAGACTAAACCAGGTCTAAAACAAGACTAAACCAGGTCTAAACAGAACTAAACCAGGATTAAACCAGATCTAAAACCAGGTCTAAAACCAGGTCTAAACCAAGTCTAAACCAGATCTAAAACAAGACTAAACCAGGTCTAAACAGAACTAAACCAGGATTAAACCAGATCTAAAACCAGGTCTAAACCTGAAACCAGAACTAAACCATGTCTATCCACTGTCTAAGCCAGATCTACACCAGGTCTAAAACGGGGCCAAAACAGGACTAAGCCAGGACTACACCAGGTAGACTCCAAGTCTAAACCAGGACTAAACTAGGACTAAACCAGGACTACACCAGGTAGACTCCAAGTCTAAACCAGGACTAAACTAGGACTAAACCAGGACTACACCAGGTAGACTCCAAGTCTAAACCAGGACTAAACTAGGACTAAACCAGGACTACACCAGGTTGACTTCAAGTCTAAACCAGGACTAAACTAGGACTAAACCAGGACTACACCAGGTTGACTTCAAGTCTAAACCAGGATTAAACTAGGACTAAACCAGGAAAAAAAAAAAAAACACAGTACTTAACATTTTAACTCTACCCAGACAATACCTACAACCAAAGACACAAATGTGCACCTTCCTCACACATTTCCACATGCAGTACTCCCTCTCCCCTCTCGTACCCTTAAGCTGGAGGCAGAGGAGGTGTGCCACATTGATCTTGTGTGGAGCTAGACATTAAAAGCCAATGAGCGCACACCACACATTTTAATGGGAAAGAAACCGCTCCATGTGTGTAGGGGCCAATGACCATGAAGCATTTGTCATCTCCTAAGTAGAGCCTCAGCCAGACATTGATCATCATGGTTGTCTACAGCTTGCACTGGCTAATCAGACCCATTCATCTCCCCCATACACACACACACGCACACGCACACACAGACACACACACATAGCGAGATGTCTTTATTACTTTCCATTAGCGCTGGGGGCTAGCCGTAATGAGGCCAGGTTAGTCTTTTTGGCACACAAATGGCGGTGATGTGCACACAGATTTGTTACATTGGAGCAGGATTAATTCAAAGCCAAAAGGTGAATGAGGTGTGGACGCATGTGGGGTTTTTAAACTGCAACAGGGTAGTTCAACCTGCACTGTTTTCTGCTTTAGAGAGTCTGGACACAACAACATGGTGGTTTTGAAAAGTCAAGAAAGGTGAATGTAGAGAAGGTTTCATTGGTGGTTGTTTGAACTCAGTTTCATCCATCCAGAAGCCATTTTTCATTTGATGGTATTAGCGTGAAGCACCAGGAAGTTATCCCACTTTGGGTTCCTAAGTCCAACCCCAAAGGAAGGAGTTTTAGAGTCAAACTGCCGTGATCTTGTTTACAGCTAACATCATTATAGGTCATGTTATTAGGTTCTTTTTTCAGACCAAGAGTTTGTTTTCATACCTGACAGTTTTGGCTGAGCTCTCAAACTCTTGGTCTGAAAAAAGAACCTAATAACATAAAATATCGGAAGACCAATTGAACCTTGTTGAACTATCATAATAGGTCATTATGTAAATGGTAAATGGTCACATTTTTATACAGTGCTTTTCCACCTTCAAGGCATTCAAAGCACTTTACAACAAGGAACCACTCACCCATTCATACACACACTCATACACCAGTGTATGCAAACACTGATGTTTCACACTGCCAACATTCAGATCAATGGACAAGCATGACCCTATTGTGTCCCTGTTGTGTCACCATTGTGTTTTGTGTCTCACCAACACCTAATAGGGACAGTTTCCTCACTTGAAAATGGCTTCTGGATGAGTCCAGATTACCACAGATGAAACCTTCTCTACATTGAACCACTCCTGGACAAACGAAGGATTACACCATCTCAAGAACTGATACTTGCTTTAAAGGGGCACTATGAAACATTTCTGGTGGAGGGTCTGACACCTGGTTGTCTCTATAAAGGTTGTTCTGATTTGACTTGAAGGTTCTACAGTATGGCATTAAACTTATCCAGCGCCATGGAGACAAGCAGGTCTTCACATGACATGAAGTTACAAGTCAAACCCGCGGACAGTTACAAGTCAAAACTGCTCAGCATAAAAATGAGAATTGTAACTGAATAAATGAAACATACATGCATTTAAGGCATACTGCGGAGCATTCTAAGCACAGCAATACAATCTCAGGGGACAGACCCTTCCACAAAAAAAAGTTTACTAATGCCATTTCCACTGTTCCACTAGTTTTCATATAATAGAGTCTTGCATTATGGCTACTAGTGTTTTTTTTATAATGTTTTTTTTTTTTCTTCTTCTTCTGAAATTAAACAAACAAGGATCTGTGAATTACACTATTTGAATCCACCAAACCAACGCAGAGTTTGAACACCAAGAAACCCAGCGCAGTAACTCCAAACAGTCACAGGTTGTCTTTTTGCCTTAATAAAAGCCATTATGTTAAACACAATAACATAAAAACATTGTGGGACCACGTGAGTATTAATGACCAATGGAGCAAAGCAGCCGTTTTAGCCAGAGCACGATGGCGTTAGGTGGCAGACAGGGGGCAGCACACTTTTTTTTTTTTACCAGTGAGAAAGTTCCGAGCCGGACTGTCCAGAACATAGGGATAGCCCGACCCTGCAAAGACCACAGGACAGAGTTAAAACGAAACAGCACAGATACAACTTTTTACACTCAAAACACTGTGTACATTGCAGTCCTTTCTACTCATCCTTCAATTTTAACAAGTTTGTTTTTCCCTGTTGTAAAAATAGCCTCTTTATTCATTTTTCTGGATGAAATTATGGGGTTTTGATGGATGTTGTCTCTGTGCAAATTCAGCAGCCGAACAAATAAGTGAACAGTGGAGGATGGAAGAGGGATGTAGGGGTACAGTGGCGGTGGCTGCAGCTGACAGCTCCTGTGTGAATGATTAAACGCCAAATAAAAAGGCAAACTATTCAAATACAACAGAACGAATGGGGTGTAGCACTTAACAAAGGTGTAATTGACATTTGCTGAATCCTGCCCTGAAACTATTGTGAATCGGCAGCCATTTTGGGTCAACCTAAATCCATGCAGTCTGATTTATGTCGACAGCAGTGTTGCAACAATACTAACATTTCCAACTCTCTTTCGATACTTGGGATTAAGGATGCACTGATCCAGCTTTTTCACTTCTGATACTGATGCTGATGCTATAGCTGAGACTGCAGAGACTGAAAACAGCATTTATTTTCCTTATACATAATAAATACAAGAATAAAATAAGACAAAACTGATCCAAATGTGTTATGTAGCTGCTGTGTATGCAAAGATGCAACAACAGAACAGATTTGTGTGGATAAAAGTATTACTGCATTCATTTAAACACTAAATGACAGTGCTTTCTCTATGTTGTCATCTTTCCTTATACAAACTTCAATAAAGCAGAATATGAATCGATTTTTACTTGTTTGACAACTTTAGAGCCTTTATTACTTTCGAGTTAATCTCAAGTTAAAAGTATACATTTTTCAAATTTTCATAAAAGGTCCTATAATACACAAAACTGACTCTTGTGATCTTTTAGTCATGTTATAATGTTGTTACATCTTCAAAAACATATTTAGTGTTGCGTTTTGTTTCATTCGCACATGTTTGAGCAATCCTTCATTATTAGTCTGTCTACATCTCTGCTCTTTTTATTTTTTAGTTCAGTAGACATGGCAGTTCCAGAGTTGAAATGATCCAAATGATTCTAGTGAAGGTGTATGGAGTGACAAAGGAATTCTTAATCTATATACATATAAATTAAAATTAAAAACTTTTTTCATTTTATATATATTACACACACAAGTTACAATATGTCTCAACACTTTTGCTCATGCATACAAACAAAACATGCAAAAATGATGTGGTCTTAAACACACATAAATAGAGTAAATACAGTGTGTCAAATGACTCCTCAGGAATAGGAATGTCTGTGTAAATCCTTATGCTTAACCAACTTCACCTGCAATAGTAACTGTGCTGCTTCCTCAAACAATAAAGAGAAAAGTTTGAACATGTTTAAGCTGTTAGTCTGAGTTCGCCCGTTAAATCCATTTGGTCTGGCTACATTCACATTTCATTTTATTTTGATATTGAATGATGATTTTCTAACTCAATACATCACAGTGCGTTGACCCGGCCGACTAAAGACCAGTGAGAACATGCCCCCACTCTCACACAACAGTTACTCGTGAAGGGGGACACCCGAAGAGAAGAGGAGGCCGTTCCCGCTGAGAGAATGGGACACTCGAGCTGGTATTCGTTTCAAAACACAGTGGAGCAGAACTCAGCCTAAACATGCAGGATTTGTGTGTTAAACATGTGTGAATGAAACAAAACACAACTCCAGGTCTGTTTGTGATGAGGAAACATTATAACACAGATAAGGGAACAGTCTAATATGGGACCTTTTAGGGGTGTGCAAAAATATTGAAATATTGATATATCTTATTGTTTAATGTGAAGATACAGTATCGATATCATGGGCTGCTGTATCGATATTGCCAAGAGTATTTTTTAATATATTTTACAAAATTATTTTGTTACAGAGCTACAGTTTTGCTGTTTGTTTAGAGCAGGGGTGTCAAACTTACTTTGGTCCAGGGGCCGTATCCAACCTACTTTGATCCCAAAGGGGCCGGATCAGAAAACTCATGTCATATAAACCCCAAAAATAACAATAACTTCAAAAATGTGTGCAGAGAAACGCAAATCTATTACAGAAATCTTTTTTAATTGATTAACTCTTTCTTATAATATTATGAACAACCTGAAACTTGAAGAAAAATTAAATTTCAACACAATGTTTTAACATGAACGTGTATGCAAATAGGAATAAGTCAGTTTTTCTTGTAAAATCCTGCACTCGGCTCCACTTTTCTCATGTTGGACATTTTTCTGATGAGGGTGTCACAGTCAACAGTCAAAACGATCGTCCTTTAAGAGCGTTTGGAAAGAGACAAGTCTTCATTTGTGCTGCTCTGGTGGGAGGGCCACGTACAGAGACGCTGGAGACGCTGATATGCTAAGCACCGCAGAAAATTACTTTATTTTAATAGAAAAATTAATTAAAATATTTTAGTAGAAAATCACCCAAGGGCCACATTAAAGGTCTTGGGGGCCGGATCTGGCCCCCGGGCCTTATGTTTGACACCTGTGGTTTAGAGGAAGGAAACTCGTTTATGTGACAATTGACATTTTCACTGTTTTTGATGATTAAAATGGACATTTTTCATATGAACTTTGCACAAGAAGTGGTTTAACAAAGACTTTTAATATCACAGCCATGATTTAGGAATTATTTTTTCTTGAACTGTATCAAATTGTTTTGAAATATACTGTATCGAATCAAAAGTGCACTGTATCGAGATATATATTGTATCATGGCCTATATATATAAAGACATGTATCGTATCGGCAACTTCTTTATGATACCCAGCCCTAGGACCTTTAAACATTGCTCTATGTTTTGCATTTGTGAGCAATAATAATACAGACGTTAAATTTGCGATAAAGAAGTACTAAGACCTCAAATATAATAAAAGAAATATGTATCTAATATGTTTGGCCTATATGGGTCAGTGGCTCAAATTTCCATTCATTTGCGGTAAAATAAAAACAACGGGAAGCCAGTGAAAAGGAAAACTTCAATTCGATTACTTGAAAATACGGTTCATTTGTCTGTTTAATAAAGCTATCTCGCCCAATCTGTTCAGAAAATCCCTTATATTATGAATCCTCCGTGGGCCTCATCATTACATTTGTTGGTCTCCACACAAAAGTAAAATAATAAACATTACATTATTTACAGTAGAGGTCTTGGGGAGCCGTATTGACATTCGAAGCCTGAGGGGAGAGAGTAAAATGTTAACTATGTGCTAGAGATAATGTTATAGCCGGAGAAGACCACGAGACACTCATTGGACTTAAGCAGCTGTAGTGAGCCGTGACAGCAAACTCTCCACTCCACATTCATTTCTCCGGTTGGAAATGCGGACAAATGAAAAAAGTTTCTTGCTGGGGTCTGGACATTTTGCTGGAGCGATGGGACCAACATTCTGTGTGTGTTTATGTGTGTTTGTGTGTGTGTGCGGATGAGGTGGAGGCCTGGGGATCAGCGGTGATCAGGGAGCAATACCTCAGAGGAGTAACCCGCGGCAGCCAACGGGAGGTATGGGACTCATCTAGAGCACAACACAAGCGCACACACACACACATACAGAGGTGTACTACCGCAGTGGGCTGAGGGGCAGGTGATGGATGAAGGGTGAGGGGGGAGAAGGAAGGAGGAAAAATAGAGGGATGGAGAAGACTTGGCCGAAGAGAAGAATAACAATGTACAAACTTGGCGACACTGCATTCTAATGGAGTTTATGTTTTTATCGCGATTTTGATGATCTCCAAACTCATCATAATCAAGTTGAAACTATTTATTTGGGGATTTTTTAATATAAATAAGTACTTTTATTCATTTTTTCAAATATAGAGATTGTAGAACAGCTGGATATATAGTTTATTTTGGATACATTTATGTTTTTCTATGCCTTATTTCATGTTCAAAGTATATTTTATTCATTTTTTGTTTTATACATCGTAAAACTGATTTTCAATTTGAAAGTTTTGCGTAAATGATCAATAACAAAGTGTTTTTTTGAGAGAGAAATGCTGAATAAATGCATCGTGTAACTAAAAAAAATAATCGTTTGAATAATCGTGATTTCAATATTGACCAAAATAATCGTGATAATGATTCTTTCCATAATCGAGCAGCCTTAGTTTACAGCGAGATGAAGATTTGAGATGAAGATTTGCACTATGCCGTGGTCCAAGGCAAGAAAGGTATCTGATGAAGGCTTTTTTTTGCCAAAACGTTATTCTGAAAATAAATAAGCTTTTGGGCATCGGTCATCCGAGTGTGCTACACATTTTTTCACTTTTGAAGATTTATACTATGTCACTTTTCTGTTGAGTCTCAGCCATTTGCTCGTCTCCAAGGAAAAAGTTATCGCTTTGCCTAAAACGTTCTATACTATGGCACTAAATCTACCTCTGAAAACAAGTCAGTGATTTCACCAGATCAAGTTACAGATCAGGTCTGTGGAAAGGCCACCCATAGAAAGAACATATCATAATGGTAAAAAAAAAAAAATGCTAAATGAGGCTGTGGATCACTCCAAGTAAATCTATAAAAACAAAAGCTACATAGTGCACCTTTAGTATACAAGTATATTAGGATTTTATTTTTTATTTCATTTTATTTTTTGGATAGTTTAGTAGGGATGGGACAAGATCACATGCCACAAGATCTCGCAAGACAAAATTGCCACAAAACTGTGCACACATGAGAATAATGTCCCCCTGAATTTACCTTTGGCATGGACAGAAAAAGAGTTAAGAGTATGGAGTATGGAAGATAATTTGTTGCATCAGATTTTGAATTATGAATACTGCTGAATTTTTTAACTCTGAAAAAGATGTTTGAATTATTTGTATTCTGAATTTTAGTTGCTGAAATTTTAAGTACTTTTTCAATATGTTCCAAATTCAGAATAAAAATGTTCATCTTTTAAATATTCAGCTCACATATTTTCATTCCTCAAATTCGA